TGTCACTTCTTTTAAACAATAAAAATGGTTTTTTACACTAGTGTCTTTATTAATCTAAACAAACAATTGTACATACTTTTTATCGCGTACCGGGCGACACGTAGAACAGGTCGGGATTGATGTACCTTTTAATTAACTTCAGGGGAACACTTAAAAAGTTGTACTATAAAGTGGCTACTGACATACTACATTAGTTGTACTGCATTTTAAACCAAAATCACGTAGACAGGTACTTTTCTATTGATATGTGGAATGGCATAGTCCTCTTTTTTTAGGACGATGAAACGTTTTCGTAAAGGGGGAAGACAAAAAAGAATGGATGTGAAAAACTTCAACATGTCAATTCTTCTTGTAGGTTTACATCGCACTACACTTATGGATCAATGAAATACGTTGATAGATTCCGCATGGAATGTGGTCTCGAACAATATCACAATCGCTTCTTTCCTAAAGTGTGTTTTTATTGTCAGGGGACCACTTTTATTTCGTCAATTAGATTTGCATTGATCGTTAAAGAACATGTTGACGTTAAGAAGATATTGTAAGGGATTTTAAAAGAAAACATAATGCATTTACTTCTTAAAAGTACGGGCAAAAGCTACCGAAGCCTTCCTCTTTCTGGAGCGTCTGTGGCTGCACGTGCCTCGCTTGCGCTTTGCTTGGAATTTTGGAAACTTGTCGAAAACCTGTCTTGTGAAAGATTCAATTTCTTGTTTTATAGATTCCATGTCCAATTCACGACCTTCCATTGCGCAGTATGCCACTAAAACGTTGGCCCAAGCAGCTTCTGAGTTCTTGCGTGATCCACATCGTGCTCTTGTCGCGTAAATGTACGATTCAAGCAAATCATTCTTTAGAATGAAAACGTATTCATCGATAATGCTCCATTGGTCTATCGCTGGCACATGTGGCTTCTACCGAAGAGCAACCGAACGATACACTAAACTGTTTAGTGTACACAACGTCACCAGGTTTTTAACAACGACCACCACGTTCGGTGGTGGGCTGCCATCCGATTGAAAGCTCCACAATCAAACCTAAAAGAAAAGTTCTTCACAGATTCAAAATCCAAAAAGGCAATCCATATCTTGAAACAATCCTTTAAACAAGGTGGTATGTACGATAATACCGGCCGTAATCCACGTAACCTGGAGTTTCCCTGTTGCGGGCTTGGACCCAGCTTTCTCGCTCGCATACAAAACCAGTAGAGGCCGGAATGAAAAATTTGTCTTGATATGCTTGAATTGTCCACCCGCATTGTCCTGGTGGAGTCGCCAAATCTCGGCTTCTTGATAAACCAACTTGCTTGTCCACAAATGCCGGGACATTTTGCGTTCTAAATTCGTTGTATAAATGACTCAAGGTCTCAGGGAGACGGTCTCCATCACAACCCGAAACCAAAATCACTGTACGCCCCGGTGAACACTAAAATCGGGGCTCCACTCGATACAGCATTCTTCCGATTAAAACCACCAGTGCGGTATCTGTCTATTGATCGCGCAATATTGCGGCATAACAGCTGACGGTTGTAGTTGACTTCTCCTAAGTTTGCGTTCATTACAAGCTCGGTTACCTGCTACATAATTATTGGTACTATAATACAGCAGTTAGAATCAATTCTAAAACAAAATAAAATAACTTTAACGCGTACCTCAAATCGTCAGGCGAATTGGCGACGTGCGCCGCTGGAGAAGCCATCGGCTTCTCACCAGCGCTAGGCGTTTCTGTGAGCGTCACGGCTGTGCAGGGTGTCTCCGTGGACGTCTCCCTAGGCGTGTGGGCTGTGCTGGGTATCTCGGCCGCGCTGGTCCTCTCGGTGGCCATCTCGCCCGTGCTGGGCGTCGACCTGAGCGTCTTCGCTGCGCTGGGCATCTCCCTCGGCGTCTCTCTGGGGTCGCCCTGAGCGTCTTGGTTGCCTCTCTGAATAACTGTGAATGACAGCCACTGGCTGACAGCCAGTCAGGGGTACTGTCGTGAGTCACTTAGGGTAAGGTATTGTCACGATTCTTGACACTTCCTAACCCTAAGTGTCTCAAAGGTTCATATTCACTAGTCTAGTTCAAATGTTAGTATGGCTAGTTCAGAAGTCAGGTTTTCTCTTTGCGATAGTATGGAAATCGATGACAGGAGGCACGAAATTTTCCTAGGAACTCTCCAAGGCACCAGTACCAGCAGGATTGCTCAAAATTAAGGTGTGTTTTATTAAAACCTACGGCACAATTGTGATTAACCAGATTATTGATCAGAAATTTGTTTAATCGAAACTGTTCTGCAAACAAAATTACTTGTAGTGGCGGAAAGGCACTTCATGACGTCAGTGGACGCATCGCACACGATTAGCAAGGTCGCGTACGCGATCAGCAGATAACTGACGACAGTAGGAAGTACGGGACAAGGATGAGATCACTTGACCTCACTAAATTACATACATTAGGAAGCACGAGATAAGCTGAAACCACTGTGACAGAGGCTGCAGTGGATGCATTGAATACCAGAATTCATTTTAACTCCAAGATAACGAGTCGGAATATCAAGCAACGCATTTAGGGTCGAAAGACACTACATTACTATCGGTATCCAAATTCTGTCGAATCGATGATGCCACTTTACTACTGTAATGCCGCATGGAACTATGAGCAAAGGTGTTGGTACCCACCGTTACACACGAAAAAAAATGATGTTTCAAGTATTGTTGTGGTCATTTCTTAGCTGTTAACGAAGACCGTTCGTAAATAGAATCTCTCCCCATTGCCCAGGGTAATGTAAGACCACGAGTGCAGCTTTTCTAAACGAGATTGCAAGCGGGCTCAGTAGCATTCAGGCAAGTAAAGTTCTGTACAATACATGCTATTTGGGGTGAGGTGGCCGCCAATAGTTATCGTTGAGTCGATTGTGACGAGAACGACGGTCGTACCTCAAATTTATCCTTTATAAAATAAATATCCTGCAACGCCGGTCCAGAATGCGTTGTATCTATCGACGCGAGCGTTGGCTGGGCTTCGCTCACGCAGTCTTCAAAGGCTGCTACAAACCGAGGCAGTACTCACGATTGATGATACGACGGATCCGTTAGCTCCGCCATGTCGTGGATAGAGGCATGAGGTGCATGAATCATGCACCTCAAACTCTATCATGCAGCATGATAGAGTTTTAAGAGTGGGTGTTTGAAATGAGGCCAAAGCTAGGTGTATAAATGACCGACGTGACCGAAAGCGACTAAAGCTGCGCCTAACGCGTAGGGATGCGGTAAGAGGACGCTAACTAAACAGCAGTAGCAAAACGCTCCTGATTCGAACGTGATTTGGAAGCTGTTCAAAAATAATTTCGTCTGTTTTAATTGGAATCAATGTGGGACTCGTTGCTTTTCTAGCAATCCCAACGACAACCCCTTTGGGACCAGTTTTGACAAAATGGCTATCACTGCCACGGTAAAAAAAA